GGTGTGGGACGAAAATGTTGCCGAGGACGTAGCCAACAACATAGACCCACGAAAGAACTCTAATTGATTCTAAGAACCTCGAGTGTGTTCCTTCTCCTTCTTTATCTCTGTATCCAACACACGCATTCACGCGCATACTCGTCGCACGCACACGCATACGTAAAAACATAAACGTACTCGATCGACATCAAGAAACACGCACTGTGTGTGCCGCTTAAATGATTCCTAATAAGATAATTCGTGCGGGCAGAAATGCGAAAGAAAATAACATCCTGATCGTGGACGACGAAATATTATTTTTTTTTTTTAGAACAAAAATAAAAGAAAAAATGCGAGAGAACGATTTTGATAGTTCGATCGCTTACGTAAAAATATCGATACTCGTCTTTTTTAATGATAAATCATTTTCTTCTTCTTCTTTGAAAATTTCTTATTAGAAAAATAATAACAACTATCATATCACCAGAAATTATCTTACAATTATCATAGTTAAGAAAGAAACAAGGAGAGTAATAATTTGATGCAGAATTATGCAATGTCCAATTACAAAGAGATCGTAAAAATAGAAAGAAATATAAAAACAAAAATACGTTTGTTAATAACTTAATAATAATTAGGAAGAAAAATATCGACAAACGAGATAAACTTTTCTCTCGTTCTGATCCGTGCAAATTCGGCAAAAGGGAGAAAACAATAATAAGATGGTGAATTAATAATCGAAAAGAAAAAATATTAAATCTTTAATCGAGCAAAAGAAAAAACGTATGCAACCGTATTTCTCAAACTCAAAAGTTTTCCAACGTGTATTATAGTCGTAGCACACACTTCATTGAAACTTTTACGAGACACGTGCGCGAGATAGAAGGAAGGGTTGAATATCACACAGAAGAAAAACGAGGAACAGTCTGAGAAAGTGTAGAGGTAGAGAATATAAAAGGGAAAATGAAAAAGAAAAAAGAAAAAAGAAAAGGAATGAAAGGTCGTTCGGGCCGGTGCACCTGCTTGCACGTGCCGAGTGCAACTGCACTTTTTCTCTCTCCCTTTCTCTCCTACTTCTTCAATAATTCAGACTCGCTACGGTACGTGGATGCGTGCCTTTCAAAAAGGGGAATCGCATTCATTCCCCTGTTTTTTTTTTTTTTTTTTTTTCATTGCACACTTTATGTTCCAAGGAATATCTAACATAATAAACTTTCGTTTCCTGTTTCCATCAAGAATCGATCATTTTCTTTTTTTATAATTTATGAAATTATTGTCTTGTATTCTTTTCTCTCTCACACATTCTCTCTTTCTCTCTCTCTCTCTCTCTCTCGATACGAAACGAGATATTAGGTTGAATCAAAAATTTGTTCGTTTTTAAATTAATATTACCAAAAGTAAATTTTACAAAAACAATCCTCTCCCGTTAAACAGTTTCAAAGTAAAGTTTCAACACAATAAATGCACGAACTTTTCGTTCACCCTAATATAATGTTGCGTTTATTAGACGCGTAAAATGTCCGTCTACATTCTTAAAAATAGAATTATGATTAACGAGAACCTCCACGTCGTTAGACGATACCTTTCGTAGATACGTTAGAAACTACCATTCGAGAGAAAGTTTTAAGACAGTTCAACATAGTTGTGGCAGCAAGGAAGAAGAAAAATGGTACGAGAACGTCTCTCTCCCCCCCACCTCCTTCACCACCCCTCCCCTTCACACCCCGACCGTACGATACTTTCGAGTTATTTCTTGTGGTTTTTTACCATTAGATCTTTTTAACGAGTTACGAGCCACGTTAGAAACACGACGTAACTTTCATATCTTTGTCACACTATAAATTATTTCTCGATGGGGGCCCATAAGCCAATCCGCAACTAACCCAGTCCGCAAAAATGAAAGTTATCTTACGAAGAGTGGTCTGACGAAACGATAATTAGAATTTAAAATTGATAACACGTTCTACTAACTTGCCTCCCCCTCACCCCTTCCTTCCCACATAGCAAACCATCGAATAATCTTTACTTTTAAGATAATCTATAAATCTTGAAATATATTTATTTTTGCTTTCTTTTTTTTTTTTTTCTCTATTATTTCAAAACGACACACACTAGATGGTACAAATTATATAGATATTAAATAGAAATTATCTAAAGAATTTGGTTCTATTCAATCGAGTAAGACGACGACGACAACGACAACGACGACGAGTTCTCGGAAATTCTTGCGTAATTCTTGAAGATTTGAGAACGTTAACCTTCCTAAGGTAACGATAAAAAAGAAATGATTAAAAGACTGCCTTTACTATTTCTTCGTCTAACGATTGAGAGGAAGGAAAGAAGAAAAAAAAGAAAAGGAAAAAATAATTTGAAGATCGCACAAACGTGAGATTTTAACGCGTAATATAACAGTAATACGTATCCTCGGTAGATAATTGCTAAGAGAAGAAATAGGAAACGATTTTTCTTAAAGCAAGTTTCCAACACTTACGTGCAACGTTAAATAATACCGTTTCTTTTACTTCTTCGAATACTTTTCTCATCTCATAAGATACCTACAGTTATGTATACATAGATTTTATACAAAGAAATACGAAACCTCTTTAACGTTTTCTAACGCATACGAGAACTCGACGAAAATTTTGTCGTGAAAAGTCACGAATATTTCAACGAACAATCACGAGGATGATGAGATAATGTTAAAAATGATGAACGTCTGATCTAAACTTTCCAAACGAAAAGGAAAAAGGAAAATCTAATATAAAACGCGAAATTATTTTCGAACCAAGAAGAAGGTCACGAGCGAATTACCATCTTGTCCAATCGTCAAAAAAAAAAAAAAAAAAAAAGAAAAATTGGACGAAAAATAGTCTCTTAATGTCTACATGGCGTGTATGCATCAGGATCAACAAAAGCATAAAAAGGCAAATCGAGATACGCGTGTGATCATTCGATTTAATCTCTATCTATATTTCACATTTATCATCTTTATTAGCGTTCTAATGTTACGAGAGATCATGTTAAAAATGATATATATATATAAGAAGAAAAATAATCAATATCTCTTATTTTCTCTCGCGAAAGATATAATATTTTCTTTTCATTTCTTTCCTTTTCTTTCCTTTTGTTTGTATTTTCTTCTTGCACCGATAATTAATCAATTAAACAAAAAGAAAAAGTATCTATCATCTTTCGTTAGAAACGAAACCGCGAAAAATAATGGCGAACTTCATGGCTTTAGATTTTATCAAGGCAACGTCGTAAACGTCACGCCCGGTGATCTGCTCGTCGAAGCAAAAGATGTTCCCAGTGGTTGCACCGCGTGGTCTCGTCGACTGCATCCATCCTCTTTGTAGACTTTGTTTAAGCCGTGAAGGCGAGGAAACAGAAAGAGAGAGAGAGTAATTGTGTGTGTGAGTGAGAAAAAGATACACCACCAACGAGCAACGATGAGTCCTCGTACTCTAAGGCAAAACCGTCCCAGATGGGCGTTAGAAACAGATACACACATACACGTGTGTACTTATATACACGTACGATGATCATGATGAAGAAAAAGAAGACAGGGATTTACGCACACAGAATAACGTTAACGTAAAACGTTCCTACCTACCCACCCAACCCAGTTGCTCTCTTTCTGCACGTTAGAGGGTCGCCGAAGCGGAGACTGTGACGTAGACACGTGGCAGGAAAAAAAGGACTGCCTTGCCACGAAAATATATACATGTATATCACATCCACGGCGATGCACACGACGGCTACTTCGAAATTCGTCGGCACCTTTCTCTTTCTCACTCCTTGTGTTCTTTTTTTGCTACTCCCTCCCTCCCTCCCTCCCTCTCTCTCTCTTTCTCTCTCTTTTTCTCATCGTTTCTTTGTGACACCTCGAGCAGCAACTTAACGCGACTAGCCAACCAGCCGCGTTACACCTTCTAGTTCTCCCGATGCGCCTCCTCGTTATAGATGTTAACACGAATCACGACTTTGAAAATCGTCGAACCTTGTAATGCGGAAGTTTCGAAAGTTCACTCAAGAAGACTGCTTTTTATAATGTTGATCCACCATAGTGTGTTTTATATTCGATTATCGAAGCGCTAAAGTTTCGAAAGAAAAGTCACGACAACGAATGTTCGTAGTAGGCATTGAATATATATATATATGTTACTGGTAATCTACGAAAAGTCGGTATTCTATAGAATATCTAGACATTCTGCTATTAGATTAGAATGCTATTTAGGCAAAGTATGAAAAAAGGTCCTAGTAGGGTTATTATGTAAATGACGTGCATTCCTCAATAATACAAATATGTTATTCTGAAAAAATAAATATTTATTAAAAAATAATGAGAAAATAATGAGAGACATGATATTCGAAACGAATCGAAGATGTATTTCATACTTTGCCGGTTTCTCATTTGGCATTCAATAGAATGCCTAAGAAATGTGTGAAATATGAATACATCTCATACATTGCTGGTAACATATACATACTATAGCTAGCTAGTGAAAATATATAAAGTTAAGATCATATTATATTTAATCTCCAATATTTTTTGGAGCAATCCAATGCAAGATTTGTTACAATAATAGAAAAGAATTTCATTCAGTTTTTTAACGATGACAAAACAAAAGTACTCTCCTTGATAGAGCATCTCGTTCTTCCTGTTCACGATTGGTACGGCTCGAGTAAGGAAGAACCTTGAAAGCGAATAAGAAGGGACTAAAAATGGTTTTCGTTAGAATACGAGGAGATTATTACAAAAGGGGGGGGAGGGGGGTTCCCAGTTGCAACATCGATCGAAGTAATTCCACGTGCAGATTATGAGGTGGTGTTATGCAACTACTACTTTGAATAGAACTAATCGATCTATAAACGTTAAATTATTCAAATTATGCACGACGTTTGTTATTCGATTGTTTTTGTTGTTGTTGTTGGGCAAGTGCTAATCGATTGGACGAATTAATCGATTATAATAAAGGAAAAAATATACTTAAAGAAAATAAGAAATGATTGGTACTCACCCTCAGGTGTCGATACGGTACCAGCCTTGTTTATCTTCGTATTCCACATGGCAGGGCTAGTTAAAGCGGGTTTGATATCTGTAGTCGGTGGATGTGCCGGTGGTATCGATAGCATCGCGGATCCCATTTGCGCACCACGTAGTAAAAGCTTCGAATTAGTGCAATAACCCTCGAACCCCCTATCACCGGAATATACCTCGCTCGATAATCTTTCGGCCAATGTTTCCGCTTGTTCTCGATCCGTTAATGCCATAGGTTCTTGTTTTATTCGTAGATCTATCGAGGAAATAACAAAAAGTATTTGGAAACGTGTTAAAGTGCCCCATTGTATCATCTTGACGAAACATTTTCTACTCGTTATGCATTTAATATTGACGCCACAGACAATTTATTGTAATAAAAATATTATATTTAACTCTTTGGAACACGCTGGGATTAAAAGTGTCTCACCCCTTTTGATGCAACGTAATGCACGGTGGGAGACATTTTTAGTCCCACCTTGAAATATTGCAATAGCTTGCATGTGCATAAGTTTATATTTCGTCTTATTTACGTAAATCAGTTGTTGGTAATATCTTTAACAAAATGTTACAAATGTAATCATTCGTGTTGGTAACATTCAACATTTTAATACAGATTCATTAATTATTGCAAACTGAAGGGTTTAATACGACAATATATTTTTCCTGATTTTATTTCTATGCAACATGGGTCTATTTTATTATTTGAAATCCTGTAGAGCAAAGAATTAAAAAAATTGTTTGAATTTAACTAACCTTCCGCGACGCTTTCCTTGTGATCACAATTATATCGTTCCTCCGATCGCGCTTGTTCCAATTCTTGTTCGAGTTCCGTTGGTGTATGGGGCGCGGTATGCGAATGCGCAGGTGTATCCGATGGATGGGCAAAGGGCTGATAAAAATGATTTTCTAAAAGATGCGGTTGCGGTGCCGATGCTGGCCGGAATGTTGCACCGTCGCGCAACACGCTCGCCCTAACTAACGCGTCAATCTCGTTCGGCGTTCTGCAAGATCAAACAAACACTAAAATTGTTTATTAGAAGCACCGGAGTTATATTCGTAACTAAATAAATATATAAGAAAGAAAGAAAGAAACAAGCACGCGTCTGTCTTCTTCTCCTCCTATTTTTTCTAACGAACGAACCAACTAAAGAAAAATAATGACGAAATCGTATCGATTATCAAACGGATTACGAAACTTGATGCGAAAGTCCACGGAGAATCAATCGGCTGGGCTGTTAGATAAGTTAAACGAGTTGTGCGTGCAACTAACAACACAACACGTCGTAAAATACGTACACAACGTACTATAAAATATATACGCGTATTTTAACACGCATAGCTTGCATAATTTCGAAAGAAACTTAATCTCGTGACACGGTCGAACGAACGAACGAACGAACCCAACCTCCTTCCCTCCTCAATTGCGTCAATGCATTTAATCGTGATATATTGTACTTATTAGTCTCGCGAAAGGTCACCGAAAGAGACGTATGTAAAAAAAAAAGAAAAAACTATCGTAGTCTTTCGAAAAGAAGAAGAAGAAGAAGAATAATAAGAAGAATGAGAATAAAAAAAGAAAGTTAGAGGGGGGTGGGCTTACCTCATTATCTTCTTGGGTGAGCTTTCGTAAAATTGGGGAAATATGTTGGGTACGGGGTATGCCGGTGCTGGGGAAGGCGCAGGCGTAGGGGTTGCGTTTCTGCATCTTTTTATACTGTTCCTCAACATGGTAGCTTCACCGGCCACGTTAGGATCAGCAATGTCATCGATTCCACCCTCACCAGAGGTACTTGCACTGGATACGGCACCGGTGCCAGCAACGATACTACCACTTGCATTCCCCCTGCTGGTTGCATTGTCATCGAGGTTACCACCAGGTCCAGCACTGCTGCTACTAATTCCAATGTTGTTGTTGTTGTTGTTATTGTTGCTGCTATTGCTGCTGCTACCACCACAACCACCACCACCACCACCACCAACACCAACACCACCTCCACCTCCACCTCCACCTCCAGCACCACTGCCACCGCCACCGCCGACGACGTTTCCTGTTGCACCGACTTCGGTGCCTCCTCCACCACCACCGCCACCCTCTCCGCCTGTGTCCGTAGACGAATTATTGCTCTCCGCCGCGTGTCTGTGCGCCACTGCTAATTTCTCGTGCTCGATCGATAGCCCTTTCACCTGTTGTTCCGAATTTTATTTTACTTTGTTTATTTTTTGTTCTTTATTTTCTTTTCTTCTCATATTTTTCATTTTTACGATTAAGCAGATTAACCCTTTGAGTAGCTGAATAATTTTAACTTAAGTGTTATTTTTTGTATAGAGTTACGGAATAATTTATCATTAGTACGATTGTTCGCCGTTGATCGAATATTATTCAATCAGATTCTAATAATGACAATTTTTTCGTTTCTTAATATTTATAATTTTCATGTGACAAAACTCGAAACAACATAATCAATACGTAAACCAATATTATTTTACATTCATATTGACAAACACGTATATGCATTGATAGAAGACCACTTTGGTAACTTTTACCAAACGCATATATGCGTTTATACCAGTCAAAGGGTTAAAAGCTATTGCATTGAAAGTTTTATTATTTGAATCGTTACTTCGAGTAATTTACAAGTTAATCGAACAAACTTATAAAAATTACGAATAAGATAGAACAAACAAAAAGAGATAGAGAGATAGAAAATGTCGACGTACTTGAAGGCATTCCGCTGCCTTGAGAAAAGAGCTCAAAGAATCTTGAGACACGTGTACCTCTCCGCGGTACATAAATTCGAGAAGCGATCTCATATTATCTGCGCTCGTCCCGTCGAGAATAACGATCAGTCCTGCGGGAGAAGGCGGCGTTCCTTCGAACAGCTCCTGGAAATGTTTGCTGCATGCTGCGAGGATCAATTTGTGCGCTTTGAACGTTACTCCTGCAATCGAAAGAAATAAATCCGTAATAGTCTTTAATAGTTAACAAGAAAAACAAAAAACAAACATAACAAAACCAAAATCCGATTAAATTGTTTATTAACCGTTTTGAATGATACGGGCGCATATATGCGTCCAACGAAAGCAATTACTCGTGAATTAAGAACGCATATATGTTTTTTTTTTTTACGACCTCTTCAGGCTACCTCGAAATTTTCTTTTATTTCTTTTTTATCAGAGAATAATTTATTAAACATTAAATGAAAAATCCTTTTACACCGTACACGATTGATTGCAATCGTTAAGCGAGCTGTTGCTCCACATTCGAAGGGTTAAATATTTTGTTTACTATAATTTCATATACGAACATTATTATTTTTTTTTTAAATTTTGATCGTTTGTGTTTGTTTTTTTCAAATGAACGTTATCATAATCGAGAATGTAAGCGAATTTTTGTACGTTTGAATGGGGAATGGGGACAGGGGGGAGGAGGGATGGGGACGACACGTCGTCGCATTCTTCAAAAGGAACCATTTACACATCCGGCAAATTAAAGGGAACATAAAAACGCTATGAATACGTAATCGCAAGAAAAGCACGCATTAGATGTTGAAGAAGCACACGCTTTCTTCTATTACTTCTACGAGGAACCCCTTTTTTTTCTTTCTCTCTCTCTCACTCATACACATACACACACACGCACACACGCACACGCACATACACGCGCGCGCGGTTTTCATCATTCGAAGGGACCATCGAAAAACGACCGCGGGAATTTAGCGTGTAAAGGAAGTGCTGGTGACCGAGGAACCCCTTTCTTTTTTATCTTTTTCTTTTTTTTTTTTCTTCTTCTTCTTCTTACTCTCGCTCTTTTTCTCTCTCCCTCGTATATAGGCCAACACGCATTACATCTTCCCCGTTTAGGAAGACTGTACACTACTCTGCGTTTGAGAGAAAGAGAAAGAGAGATAGAAAGATAGAGAGATAGAGATAGAGAGAGAGAGAGAGAGAGAGAGAAAAAGAACATAAAGAAAAGCCTCAGCAGCTTGACGTCGATGCCCATTCTTGCAGCTTGCTGGATATGTAGGCCATCTTCGGACACGATCTTCCGTAATCTATACTTTTTTTTCTCTCTCTATCTCTCTCTCTCTCTCTCCCTCTCTCTTGAGTTTGAATAATACGTGCAGGTACGTAACGCGATACTGATTGCGTTATACGAATCGGACTTACGTTAGTGTCCGATTGTGCACGTGATAGAGAACTGCAAATTCTTTGATAAAAATCACAATCGTATTAAAATTGATATATTAAATGTTAATAAGAAAATCAATAAAATATAACGCGTATGTTGAAATCGTAATATATATATACATATATTATAATTTTAAGAAAAGGGGAAAAGAAATATGGGAACCTATTTATTTACACGTTAGTGAGTATAATTTATTATTATTATTAATTACTATTTTTATTATTTATCATAATATTATTATTTATTATTTTCCTATTTTTTAACTTGATTTCTTTTGTTAAATTTATATATACTAATGAGATTTTCCCTCGTCAATAAATAAATATATTAATTAATATTAAGAAAAAAAAGTGTGTGTGTTATCTATTAGAAATAGTAGACGTCGAATGACGTTTAAAATTGAAATATCGTATAATATAGTAGCGCACGAAAAAAAGAAAAAAAAAAAAAAAAGATAAGTATACGATAAAAATTTGCAAGTGAAATATAACCGTGAGGAGAGTAAAGACTCTCGTAAAAGCATTAAAAGAAATGTAGAAAAAGGATAGCGATTATAAACGACGATATAAAACGAATAAGGAAGTCAACTGTAAAAAGAGATGAGAAACGAATAGAGAGAGAGAAAGGTGAACAAAGAGGGAGGGGGGGGGAGGCTCAACCAGGTGGCGCAAACCACCTGTCCTTTCGACGCAAGCAACCTGGTCTCTCTCTCTCTCTCTCTCTTTCTGTGAAGTGTATCGAATTCTCAACTTGCGTTCCTCCCCAAAAGGACGAATTAAATTTCAAACTCGATTTCCCGCCACGTTAAATCGAATATCGATATCCCAGGATTATCCTGGTCACGCTCGATTAATCGTTACTTCGTAATTTATCTTCGATGTATTTCCCATAACCAATAGAAAAGGGTTAAGACGAAATGAAACGGGAAAAGATAGAGAAAACAAAAGGAAAAAAACGAAAAAAAAAAACAAAAAACAAAAATAAAAAAAGATGAACAAAATGTAGACATAATATTAGATCATAAATGTTTTACGTACGTACCTAACATAAAATATCATAAATCGTGTATTCGTTTTTCCTTCCTACCGTAGTAAGTAAGAATGATAGAATGAAGTTCGGAAGTTCGTAACCATCGTAATACAACTATCGCAATATTTATAAGCTTCCTAATATAGGATCGAAGGAGTGTAGTATTCGTTGCAAAAATGTATGAGTTCTATACACACACTCTAAACATTCTAAAAGCGGTTGTGTGCAGGGGCCAACGACCGAGTCACGCGCGTCTTCTGCGTGTAGGCGGCTTTTGCACGCTAAGTTCCTGGTCTCTTCTATATGTCTCTATCTCTATCTCTATCTCTATCTTTTTTCTTCTTCTTCTTCTTCTTCTTCTTTCTTTAAACGACCAATCATGACTATGCGCGAGCCCGGAAATATATAGATGATCTTTCTCGTATTTCTGATCTCGGTTTATTTCCTAACTAAATATCGTACATGTATATATATATAT